TCTTTTCGCTCAACAGCGTTGGTGGCCAAACGACCCATTTGCCGAGGCCAGATCGGCGCTCAAAGAGCATGCAGCCTCGACAACCGGCCGCACTTGCCTCGAAATCGTCGACGGGACCAGAGTCAGCCTGCCCTGCCTCAACATCAACATTCGAGAACATTCGCCGTTGAGCACCAGAGTCAACCTGCCCTTGGCCTTTGACCCGGACGCCCCGCCGCAAAACACCACGGCTCGTTACGGCATCTATTCGCAGTCGAGTCCGGAGGCGTTTTCGTTGGTTTGGGACGGCGACGGTCTGTTGGCGCCCGACGATCCGACGCAAGAGGAGTCAGAAGGTCGGGGACTCTGGTTGCATGTCACCCGTGACCTGGACAGAGACACAACCCCCAGCCACGAGGTCACCCTGTACGCCTCCGACGCTGGACAGCCAATCCACCTCACGGGATACCTGAAGTTGAACATCACCATCGACGACATCAATGACCATGCTCCGAGGTTCGTGAAGAAGTTCGCCTCCACCTGGATCCTGGAGAACTCGAACAAGGGCACTTTTGTCTACCGAGCCAAAGGTGAAGATGCCGATCCCTCGGACGCCAAGCGACTGGCCTACAGCTTCGGCCCGACTACGTCAACCGAGGCCAGACAGCTCTTCTTCATGGACTCGAGCACTGGCGAGATTCGAACCATCGGCCCAATCGACTTTGAACAATACCCCGTGCACAAGTTGGCTCTCGTGTTGACGGACGGCAAGTGGACCGCGGAGGCTGAACTGATCGTCTGGATCGTCAATCTCAACGACCATCTGCCTCAGGTCGAGTTGACCTCCTACCTGGCGACGAGAACAGCGCCCGGATACCGGCCTAGCCGGTTGAGTGGTCAACTGGTCCCGTCGAAACCGGCTGTCTCTATGGCCGGTGAGACGGGCGCTGGGCGCAGCGCTGGAGCCGGACTTATTCCGTTCTCCGGTACCGGGGCGGCGGTCACTTTGGTCGTCCATTTGACCGAGAACGGGCCGGGCAACAAACTTATCGCCAGTCTTCGTGTCAGCGACCGTGACGACGTAGCTGAAGCGCGTCTTCGAAGCTCTCCTCTCTGGTCGAGCCAGTCGAGCGTGACGAGCGGAGTTGGTGGCGGTCTGTTGCACCCATTTTGTCAGATCACGGGAGGCCTGGCTCGAAGTCTCTTCCGAATAGAGGCATTCCGGCCGAACGAAACGGGTCCGGATGATCCGCTCACGTATCACATTCGACTGGCTGGCCAGCCTCTCGATCGGGAAGAGAAGGCCTTCCACGCGGTGCCGATCGAGTGCCGTGACCAGGAGAAGCCGATGCCAGATCAAGTCTACTGGTTGGGCAGGTCCCTTCAGGACAGCCAGCAACAACAGCAACAGCAAAAACAGCAGCACCAGCAGCAGCAGCAGCAACCGTCAAAGTGGCCGCAAAATGCCAGACATCAAGTGCTCACCAACGCCTATTCGGGCGCCAACCTCTACTCCAGCTACTCCATTCATCCGGTCACCCACGTGACCAAAGTGTTGCTGAATGTGATTGTGGACGACGTAAACGACTGCCCTCCTGTACTTCGGTCGCCTCAACGTCTGGTGCTCCGCGAGGCCGAACCGATTGGTACCCTGGTGGGCGTGATCTCGGCTGTGGACGGCGATGAACCATCCAGTCTGGCCGGCAACTCAGGCCTGCGTTACTATCTGGCCGGAGAAGCGGAAGAGATGTTGTACTCGCCGGGCGAGAAGAAGGCTGTCAAAAGTTCGATTTCGCCAAGGCCTCAAACGACGAGTCGGCAAAGCGACAAAAATGTCAGCCATTCTGGCGAAGATGAGTCTGAGACGAAGGAGGCCTCAGTTGATGCCGCGACTCACGAGACGGTGGAGGGTTCGGAGGCTGCGAGAATAAATGGTCTGTTTGACCGGAGTCGAGCAGACGAATCCATCCTTCCGGGGCCAATTCTGCCACCAAAGCCATGGTTCATGTTGGACGCTGTCACCGGAGAGCTACGGACCAGCGCCTCCTTCGATCGAGAACATGTTGCCAGCATCAGGCTGGCGGTGACAATACGAGATGGTGGCAACCTAACACCTCGGGCCTCTGGCCGTGAACTGGAATCTGAATTGCCGGCCTACAACGCTGTAAACATCACTTTACAGATCGACTTGATCGACATAAACGACAACCCACCTCTCTTCACGGAACACATTTACACCTTTAATGTGAGTGAAGATGCGAGACCACCGGTTCGTCTGGGCCGGGTATTGGCGGTAGACGCCGACGTGGACAGACAAAACAATCGACTTGAGTACTGGCTATTGCCCAATCGTCAACTGAACGAGGATGAGACTGCAGAAACGGTGTCGAACAGCCCAAACTCTGGTGGTCGGGGTGAGGTTGGTAAAAACTTGGTCACAAGTCAGCAACGTCTGCTTTCAGCACTGGCAACCTGGTTCACGGTGACGTCGGGAGGCGAGATCTACCTGAGAATGAGTGGATTCAGCAGTACCAATCAGATGAGTCGGTATCCGGTCAACCAGATCATGCCTTTGGACCGTGAGCTCAATGATATCATCATCTTCGATGTGTTTGCTAAAGATACCGGGACGCCTAGCTTGACTGGATCTGCTCAAGTCGTGATTCGAGTGCTGGACGTGAACGACAATGCACCCGTCTGGAAGTTCCCCAAAGAGGGAGATCGGGTGGTGAATGTCTCTGTCAACGCCGTACAAGGCCATCGAATAGTCCAGGTGAGTTGGCATGCAGATATACAGAATGTTCACGATTTCCACGCTTCGTTGTCAATTCGCTTACATTTCGGTCATAAAGAAAAGAAATGTGCCAGCACCCAGTCGAACTAAATGCCACATTTCAAGGAAACAGTCTGAGGTCTAAATTCGTAAAAAATTGCAAGGGCACATTAGATGCAAGTCGTTTTCGAGACAATCACAACTTTCTGAATTAGAATTTTGGGACTGCTAGTGTTAATTTAACCTCGCTCACGCAACTTGGTTGGATCGACAGGAAAACTTTATGGAGCATGTTTAGACTTGCATTATCAGTCATACTAT